CAATTGAAAAAAATTCTAAAAACAATGGTAAAAAAAAAAAAAATACAAATAAATGTAAAATTTATAATTAAAAAAAAAAAAAAAAGGCTAGCTCGGCTAGTTCCATAAGCCCGAACCAAGCTTCAATTTTCTAGCCGAGCTTTGGCTCGACTCGGGCCAAAAAATAAACTCGAGTCATTTTTACCCGAGCCGAGCCTGAGTTTCAAGTTTCAGCTCAGCGACATCCCTACATAACTCATGTTAGTTTTTTCCTACTCATTTTCACTTTCTTCATTTTACAATTTGTATTAAAAAATTTGAAAACTTTAGGAATTCGACGTATATGTGTGAGTATCATCAATTGCAATGCATTATAACATCACACATATTTAATAATGTATTTGTCTTTTAGTACGAAAATCACTGATATTACATATAACACCACGTAATATAGAGTTGGACAAAACTCACAAATTGAATCGGACTCGAACCAAAATGAATCGAATCCAACTTGAATCGGACCCCAACCGAACCGAACTGAATCGAATCGTCCTTTGCACGCATGCCAGTTTCATATTTTTAATCAAATGCTTGTGATATGCAAAAGTTTTATGAGTGAGTGGTGACAAAGTACTTATAATTTAACATTTTTTTTTGCACCACCACCATGTTGAACCTTCTGATTTAAAAAGTTAAATTACTAGACAGTGAATACTCTTACTTAAGTTCTATATTCAATAAGAAAAAATTAAAATAATGTCGAATACTTCAAGCCATACATGTCTGTACTGAAGTCAAGACTGCAAGAAAGGATTCAAAGTACCAAAATTATATTTCAACATAATATTGGCGATTGCTTCCAATTCAGAAACTATTCAACTTTACTTTTGTATCGTCACTGAACAGATCAAGAATACAAGTGTAAACATAATATTATGCTTTCATTTTGGCTTGTATTGCAAAATTTTCTACTAATCTAAATAATATACAGAAATACTGCAAAAGCACTAATACACTCCTCCGCAGCTGCTATCTCGGCCCTGAAAGGCGAACTGCGGAAAGATAGGCATTGCTGTTACAATCTGATGGACCTCCAGACGAAGTGCCCTCCTCACCGATTGATTTGAAGAAACTTGAGTCAAGCCGGGAGCCAAGTTGTGAAGCAGTTGGTGGTGGAGGCACTGGACTGACACGTTCTAGCATTTGCACGACCTTTGTCATCGATGGCCTGAGGTACATGTCGTCCTGTATGCACCACAAAGCAACCTTTATTGCTATACCGACCCTCTCGTCCTCTTCGTCTATTTTCAGCTTTGCATCAATTATGGCTTTCAATTTCCCTTCTTCCATCATCTTAAAAGCATAGGACGGAAAATGGGATTTCTCCAAACTCTCAGCAGGATCATAATTTTTTCTACCCCCAATTATCTCAAGCAACACCATCCCGTAGCTATAAACATCGCTCTTTTCTGATATGGCATAGTTTGTGATCCACTCGGGTGCAAGGTACCCTCTTGTGCCCCGTAATGTGGTGAAAACATGGCTCTGCTCTCTAGTCATAAGCTTTGCCAGACCAAAATCCGAAACTTTGGCCATAAATTTGTCATCAAGAAGCACATTCTCAGGTTTTATGTCACAATGAACGATTTTTACATCACAGTCCTCGTGGAGATAAGCCAGGCCTTTGGCAGTACTGACTGCAATGCTAAATCTCGTATCCCAATCCAACATTTGTTCCCCTTTGTTTTTCCTGAAAAGCCATTTATCTAAAGATCCATTCGCCATGTAGTCATATGCAAGAAGCCGGTGCGTTCTTTCAGCGCAGAAGCCTCTGAGCCTTACAAGATGAAGATGATGGATACTTCCAATGATACTAACTTCGGCTCGAAATTCTTTCTTACCCTGCCCAATGCCTTCTAATTTTTTTACCGCAAGTCGTGTCCCATCATGGAGTGTACCCTGATAAACTGAACCAAAACCTCCTTGGCCTAGCTTCACACTGAAGTCATTTGTCGCAGTCTGAAGATCTTTGTAGCTAAACCGGATCGGCATCCCAGATAAACCTTCCAAGAAATTATCCTCGTCTGAACTCTCTTTAGGAGACTCGGGCAATTTCTTGCTCTTCCGGTGGAAAATGAATCCCGTGTAAAGAAGACCAAATATAACAGATATGGTGACGATAATAATGATAACAATAAATGGAAAGCGTTTCTTGTCACCGCCTCCTGGGTTTCCATCACTACCTCCAGTTCCCGAGACTTTGATATATGAAACATAGCCACCATCCTCATTGGATCCTTGCAAGCTTCCTATCTGATCAAACAAAAAGCAATTTCCTGAACTGCTCTCAAAGAACATTGCACCACAAGAGCAATTTCTGAGACAAGAGTCTCTGCAACCATTTAAATCTGTTTTTGAAAATGGTTGAACATATCCAATTGCAGAATAGCTGAGGCCATCTCCTGCATTTACAAGGTCCCCAGGATCCTTTGAATTGTTACAAGACGGAAAGGTCCCCAATTTGCAAGAAGGAAGGGATGGTGGACACTGGCACTTGTTGCCAGTGTAACAAACAAAATACGGATCACAGGCTGCAGGCCGGCTACACTGATCTTGCGGAATTCTTACTGATGAGGCACCAGATGAACCTCCTTGAAGAAGAGTAAACGTGATGAAACCGTCATCCCCTAAAACCACCACCCAAGTTGCATTTGCTCTGGTATCTTGAGAAAATATAAACTGCCAAAGCAAGACTTTGTTTTTGTCAAAAAATCGCCAAGAATTAGCAGTAAGAGTTGCAGAAACGATGCCATCACCATCCTTATTGATCGTTCTTCTGTTGTCTTTTCCCATTGCCCAGTATGGTTGTTGGGGTTGAAAACCCGCGTAAAGAATCAAATCCCCGGATTTAATCTCAAGGGAATAGCTCAGGTTATTGGAACCGGGACTGTTTACAAGTTTCATTCCTTCAGTGAACTCCTGGTTCGTCAAGAGAGTATCCGTAGGATGGCTAAAACTCTGCCACGTTAAACTGCCATCACTCCCACGTAAAATCAAATTTCCCGAGTCTAGTAATTCCATTTCAGAAACTCCTTTATTAGCAGTATATGAGGACCAAACTTCCGATCCCCCACTTTGTAAGTAAGCATTCCCAGAATCGTCAAACACAAAGCTGTCTGAATTCTCAACCGGAGAATCCCTATTAGCAGACCAAATTACAGTTGAGGTACCCTTGTGAATCACAGCAAGCAGAAATAAAGTGACATCTTGTGTAGTCATGAATCCAAAGGCAAAATTCGTATTATTGGATACTAAAAACAGCCCATCGTTGTCAATCCAATTCATTTGAGATCCTTTAAACCCCGGATTCAATTTCCCTATACGTTGAACACTAGACATACAGATTTGTACCGGAAACATAATTAACAAACATACAATTGTGATTTTCAGAATCCTCCAATTCTCCATGATTACATCAACTAGGTAGAATTCAGCTAATTCAAGAATTTCAAAGCCAACAAGAGGAAGAATGACAAGAAAATTTGGTCTGCTACTGAACACGCGCACTAACACCACCACGCCCTACCTGGATTTACAACTCCAAGGATCAAATTTCAAGACTCAAAATATAACCCTCAAAATCATTGAATATATTGAGGGCCAACTGAATTGAGAATAACGGGACAAGAAAAGAATATCATGAATTAACAATACACAGGTACTTGATATTCATACAACCAAGAAAAAATCAGTCAGAAAATGAGTTCCAACTTGAAATTGAAAAAAGCACAAACCAATAGCCCACAAAAAAGTAGACAATATTTTGCAGGCAAAACAAGAGAGGTGATGAAATTATACGTGTAGCTATCAAGAATCCAATTCTTGGCTGATACTGAGAACCCAAAAGGTACAAGTGGATTTTGCAGACTGTGTACTTACAAGCAGAATTAAGATGAATCTGAATTTGCTTATGTCAAAGAATTGGAGAGATCTGTGGACCGTGGTGGTGCTTTTGTTATTTCACTAGAAATGTCAAGAACAGGCAGACAACTAATATATGGGTCATGACTCATCACCAAAGAAATGGAAAGACATAATAAATTAATGCGTAGTTGAATGATCCATAGTTAACTTCTTCAATTGATTAATGAATTGTTTACTTGTTTCCATCAATATGTGTGCAAATGTGTATAGTCTGTAATCGGATCATTAATCTAGTGCATGTGGCGGGGTAATGAATGCTTGTTGGCATAATTAATTCAAGAAGTTGGACGATTGTGACGAAAAAGATTTCAAACCGCCGGTTGAGGGGTTTTAGAAAAATACTATTCATCTCCAATCTATGTGGATGTAAATGATTGGTTAAATGATATGTGAAATTAAATGACTTATTTAATTTCACATATCATTTAATGTCATATTAAGGTCATATAGACTGGGGATGCATCCCCAGTGGGGATGAATAGCATTTCTCGGGATTTTAAAGCCACTTGGAACATTGTGGGCTACAATTTTCTTCTTTTGAAATAAATTTAGGGAGGGTTGTTCCGTCCTTTCTCATTTTTCGAAATTTTTCATCACATTGATCGTTTTGACTATACATATAAGTTTATTTATCAAAGATATTTACACGAATATCGCATGAGTCTTAGACTCAATTGCTTTGTCACAAAAAGGAAAAAAAATATATAAAATATGCATCCGAAATCCAGTAAATCCATGGATTCATCCCTACTATTAAATATACAAATTTCAGGTATATTCGGACAAAATTTGAGTCGGTTTTCAGTAATTTGACATGTTTGGTAAGATTAATATAATAATAAATAATTTTAAAAGATAAAATTAATCCATTATATTGTTCTTAGGGTCCGTTTGATTGCAATGGTGGAAAATTGGTGGAAAGAAAATGAATTACAGAGAAAATAATTGTCTAAAACTTGTTTTTCAGGAAATTGTTAATTAAGTGTGTTTGATTGGTATAATTTTTCACCCGAAAAATTTTAAAATTTTGGATCTTTTTGTGTTCGTTTAACATGAAAATTGTCCATTAAAGTGATATTTTTTTACAATTGGTTATAAAATTTATTTTTATTGCCAAAAAGTAAAAAATATATATATAAATATTTCCGAGAAAATCATTTTTTTAATTAAAGTTTACTGTTCGTTTGATTTTTTTTTACATAAAAATTGTCTATTAAA